AAAAGTGTGGATTATTGTAACCTGGATTAAAAGTGTGGATTATTGTAGTGAAGCGTTCGTCTTCAACCATCGACAGAGGCCTCATGTCAGTGACGATCATGTTCAGGATGTTTCAGTGAAGACAGCTGCTGCTGTGGTGTGCATGATGTCTGTCCATCATGAAGGATGTTGTTGTTTGTTGTTGTTTTCTGGAATGAGACAGTAAATATGTTTTATATATCATAATTTACAGCAACTCAAGAAATGCCTTGTTTCACTTACAGTGTTAGGTTCAGGCAAAAGTAGCTAAAAGAGCAACTACACACACACACACACAAATTACTTAATTCCACACATTTGAGTAGATGTAATAAATTACTTTAATTCCTGTTTAAATGCAATTCATCCTGCCATACCTGCAGTGTCTTCAGACTTTGCCAGCAAATTAAAAGTTGAAGCTTAATCATTAAATTATTATCTTTGTGTTAGATTTATTTATAAATCACATTTAAACACTGCATGTACCAATTAAATTAAATAAAAAGTAACACACACGTTCTCTATCACCGTCATTAATCAGATAAACAAACAAACAAACAAACAGCTTCATCTCCCAGACAGACTGACGTTACGTTTTCTCTCTTGAAACAGAACAATGTGTTAAATTGTAGAGACTCACCTGCAACACGAGTTGGGAGTGAGACATGTTGTATCAGCTGCAGCTCGTGACTCCGACATGTTTACGTTTTATCTCCGTGGTTCTCTCGTGTCGTGTCGGCGATTTTCAAAGCTGCATGTTTCTCATTTTTTATCTTTGTGAAGTTCTCCCACACTTTGGAGGACTTGGGTCGAACAGTTTTCGCTGCGTTGCTCATTTGTAAAATTTACTTAATTTCCTTTGAAAACACTCTGCTCTGCTTCATCCTCCCCCTCGCTCTGTTCAACTCGCGCTGCAGTTTTTTTTTTTTTTTCAAACTTTATTCAGTCAGTCAGCATTGACAATGAACTGCAGGTGAACGAAACAAAACGGCTCCGCAGCGCCGTGAAAGATGCATAATCGCGCGACACAACGAATCGATAACGAAATTCGTTGCCAACGCTTTTAATCATCGATTTTTATCGATTCGTTGTTGCAGCCCTAATTAAGATGGCCACTTGTCCTGAGCCTGGTTCTGCTGGAGGTTTCTTCCTGTTCAAAGAGAGTTTTTCTTTCCACTGTCTCCTTTGTGCTTGCTCGGGATGGGAGACTGTGATGAAGTGAAGATTCAACGTGTCTGCTGATTCCTTAGAATAACTTTTACTAATTGTCTTTTACGTATGTGAATGTTTCTGATACGGTTTCTGTTGTGACTTGAAGCCATAGAAATAAACTGATTTGAATTGACTAAGGTTTGGTTAAAGAAAAAACAAAAAAAAAGGAAGAAGCAGCTGGTGAGCTTTCAATTATATTGTCTTTGGAGTTGAGGACCAACATATCAAGACATGTTTACACTCAGGTTAAAAATGTAATTTGTCGTGGGATTTAAAATTCAAGTTGAAAGTAAGTATTAAAGTGCAGTTAAAATGTGTATTTTTAAAAGACGTGGAAGCTAAAAGTAATTTGTTAAATGTGATTTGGTGTATTTAAGGGAGCTTAGAGCTGCCGAAGTGTATGTTTAAAATTATCACTGAAGAATAATTAAAATATGTTTAATTGATTTTGAATACCTTAAATGTACATGTTATACTGAGATTCAAGGATAAATTTTAGTTGTTTAAAAACAATTTAATTTTGGGGTTATGTTAATTGATTTTGGCTGACTGGGTTACACTTTCTTGGATCTTTTTTCTTGTTTGTATTTGTAAGTTTTTCATCTGTTTTGGCCTCAACAACTTTCAAAATGAAAGAGAAAAAAAAGAATTGATTCTTGATCAATGAGTGAAGTCCAGTTCAAAATCTTCTTAAGCAAGATGCTCCTTCAAGTGGGGGGAAACTTCAGATTAAACCCCCAAAAAGTGAAAACCACTTGATAAACCATACTGACTATGTCAACTTTTCAGGCAATATTTTTCCACCATTAACCCAATTTTACCTCTTCTACAGTCAGACTGGGCTTGTAGCAGCGGTTGTGTCCAAAGCCATTGCATGATGGGTCGGGATTAGTAGTTCCTACTCTGAGAGCAGGCCTTGAAGGCAGCAGCTGGAGGGAGCTTCTCCTCTCCCTATCCTTTCCCCTGTCTGGGAGCCCTGCAGGCAGTGGTGTCCCACTGGAAAAGAACATTACAAGCAGACCCTGTTAAAGCTCGTTTGCCTTAGCTGCAAGGACTAATTTTATTTTAAAACTTCGACAGCTTGCCTGTATTTTCTCATTAAAGGAGGTAAGGAGCTCTGAAAGGGATTCTTCCCACCCCTGTCATTTACTCCACCTGCAGGTATGTCTAGTGGACAAAAATAGAAAATATGAATACAGTCAAAAGAAGATTTTATCTGTGGTAATATCTGCTTGTACTCACCCATTCTCCAGTCAGTGTAGTTTAGCCATGAAGTGTGAAGCTCATCTATGCCCATTAGAGTTACGGGCTGATCAACAGAAGACGCATGAGATAATTAATGATGAAGCAAACGATTCAAACTTTTTAAAAGGGAAATTTAAAATAATTAGTGGTCCTTTGCACCCATCAATCTGAACCATTTAGACAAAGTATCCTCAGAAATATATTTTTTATATTAAAAAAAAAAAAACTAGTCAAAAACTGTGCCTTTATTTTACTTTTGGGGCTATTTGTAACCACCATTTAAAACACAATTTGACAACTGTCGAGAGCAGCTTTGGTGCACCTGTTTGGATCACGTTCGGAGATCAGATAAATCCAAAACAAAAAATGTCTTTGTTACACATCACTTTATTCAAATGTACACGTGTGACTAAAGCAGACAGAGTAACCCACCTGTGTTTCCTCAGGCTGACTTGGTTTCCGCAGCCTAAGTAGACCTGCTAATCCATTTACCGTCTTCTTCACAAAGCCGATGACTACATCTGAAAGACAAAAGTTAATAACTGAAATTTAGGTCAGATTTCTTTTTAAATACCTCGAACAATAAACGTACCTCGCCGACGTCTTTTGGCCTGTACTGGGTCACTCTGACAAATATTATCTGCAACATGCACACTGAAACGAGAACATTTGAATTAGTTTCTTCTTGTGTCCTGAAAAAACAACACATACTAGAATAAATATGATCAGGTCATTACAGAAAATGATTTGTAATCCAAGATTTCTGAAAATTAGCTAATCTTTCTCATTGCAAAGAAACAAAAAGTCAACCTTTTTAATCCATTAATTTGTAATAATGTTGTGCACGACCCAAAGATGCTCAACAGAACATCTTGTTTTCCTTAGCAGGTCAGGCCATGATATAAAGTATTATTTGAAATACTGCAAACTAAATATGTGCAGTTTTGAACAGCTGAAAATCAAGTAATCACTACATTTCTGTTACTCGTTCATGAACTAAATCTGAAAGGGACCAAACTCTCTGTCAATATGTTAGTTACTGATCTGAGTATCATAAAATGTGAATTTAAGCAAGTCACATATTCAAAAATCACTTTCTTCAGATATTTCTCAATTAAAAAGTACCTGTAATACTGTTCAAAATCAAAATACAAATTGGCTTAAAAAGTAAAGTTATCTAAAACGCAACATAATCTTCATGGTTGCACTTATTCCTGTTGTACATCTGTACAGAAAACACACAGGCCTGAACTCAGAAGTCATGTTTACGTTTAGGTTAGCTAACATAACATTAACACGTGAACGTTAGCCACTAACGTTAGACTTCCATAAACATATTAAATAATTACAGCGGTGTACAAATACAATAAGAATAATCAATTATTAAAATGACACTGACCTCTGGTAGTTCCGTTTGACCGGTCTGCCGTGGCTCTCCTGCCGCCGAGCTGTAGCTTTCACGCCAGCTCGCTTGCTTCCCTCCTCGCTACCTGCTTCTCCGGACCACTCCGTGGACTTTTGCCCCGTAACGGGCTCAAACAGCGACGATATTCCGTCAACTATCCATCCATACATCCCAGACACATACGAGAAAATTGTAAGGAGGTCTTCCGCACGGGCCAGGACTAGTTACTCTGGAAATTAAGAACCCAAACAACGATCTACGACACGACGTCTACCACCGTTTCTTTAGCTTAGCATTAACGTGTTGAAATGAAAAGGAAGTGCGTCACTACGTAGGTTAGCTCATGAGGTGCGAATGTTATGCGTACCGGCGGAAAGCGGTTGGGCGGAGTTTTTAAAGCGCAAGGAAACCAACTCTTAAAACTGATTGGCCAAGCACAGACGGCGGCTTCGTTTTAAACAAACAAACAAACCGAAAAGGTGACAGCCACGTGACAGCTGTTAACGGTCATCCAGCCTCTGATTGGCTGCCGCTGTCACGCTAAAATATTACGTAACAAGACTGATGACAATAAATTAAAACAAATTTAAATCAGACCAGAGAAAATGTGTGATTTGACATGAACAAGTCTATTTGTATTGTGATCACGGATAATTTAAAAGAGTGAAAAACTATTTGAGCACACATACCTGAAGTTTTAGGTCAATAACAACTTAAAGGAATACTAGAATAAAATACATAATTTTCCAGAATTGCAAGTACTGTAATTGGTATATCACAAACCCAGTTTGTTCACATACTTGGGAATTTAAAGAACAAATGGACTGATAGTGAAGTTAAGAGATCTTTGAGCTGTATGATGGAGAAATACCAAAATGACCTTATTTATCCCAGTTTATGGTTATTGTTGAATTTCAAAATAAAGTTTTATTAATACCTTTACGATAGAAGCATCTAACGCTAACATATAGTCCAACTTAGGCAACTTGCTATGCATGATAGATTTTTTTTAAATTTCCAAATTAAAACCAGTGTACATTTAGAAACGGTTAAAAATCAGTCCTGTTTACATGAAGACAACAAAGGAGATGGTCATGGATTTCAGACAGAGCATACACACCTACACCCCCACCCCCTCCTCCTAACATAGGATCTGCAGTGGAAGTGGTCTCCAGCTAGAGTGCAAGACCTTCACACTATAATAATAATGTAATCTATAATGTAATCTGATGTTGTGCTGAAGAGCTTTATATGTAATAAAAAAATAAAAAGTAGTCTCCAGCTACAAGTACTTGGGTGTGCGTCTGAACGACAACCTCAGCTGGAGCAACAACACCACCAGCCTGATCAAGAAAGCTCATCAGAGACTCTTCTTCCTCAGGCGGCCGAGGCGAGCTGGTCTGGGAAGCTCAGTCCTCACCTCCTTCTACAGGTGTGCAGTGCAGAGCATCCTGTGCTCCAGCATCAACGTGTGGCATGGAGGCTGCACAGCTGCAGAAAGAAAAGCTTTGCAGGGAGTAGTGAAGGCTGCACAGAAATCTGTCGGAGTCAGCCTCCCCACCATCACAGACATCTACACCTCCAGATGCAGGAAGAGGGCCACCTGCATCATGAAGGACCACACTCACCCAGCACACACTTTTTGCCCTGCTCCCCTCAGGAAGGAGGTTGAGGCGCATTAAGTGTAGAACCACTAGACTGAGGAACAGCTTCTACCCTGAGGCTGTTAGACTCATGAATCTCTAACTAGGGAAATCACTGTAATGCCACTTTAATAGGTGATATGTTACTTATCTGTGCTGCTGATCATCTCATGCTGCTGTTCCACCTACTCACCACATGTTTGGGCTGTTGTTGTTACGCTGTATTATTTTACATTATTAGTGTTTAGTGTATAGCTAAGATCTTTTAGTGTATTGTTTGGCGTTTGTTTAGTTTATATCTTAGATCTTTAAAAACGGTTTATTTTTATACTTTATATTTTGCTATTTTTGGGTGTAACTGGGTAAACTACACAATTTCATTCCACCTCATGTACCGCATGAGATGGAAACAACAAAGTTGACTTGAACTTGATAACAAAATGACGTAAAAATACAGAAAATAAAGCGACATTTACAATTCAGAAAAAAATATTTATTTTTGAAGCATTTTGTGAATGAACTTCAACATAGCCAAGACATGTATCGAATAGAAAATTACATTAAAAATTATTTAAAAATACTTTATACATTAGTTTAAAAAAAAAATCACATGAAAACAAGTGTGATGTGAACTTTCTATCAAGAAGGCGAGGCTTGGTCAGCTCAGGTTAAAAAATAAAATTTAGTCTTTCAGTGGTTGAGATAGCTTCAGGTCAGATGAACCTAAATAGATTCAAACACAGAAAAACAAATAAATCAACAATTTACCCCCAGGTGTCATCATCATATGTCGTCATATTCAGCTACACTGAATATCAAAATGACAGTGAGCAATCGTGCACTAAAGCTTGTGTTAAACCATTTATTCTGTATACGGGCTGGATGATACGTGGTTATACATTATGAAAAGGATTTAATTCTAATTCTGCTCACCTTGTCTGGCACCCCCCAGACGCTGCTGCACTTTCTCTAGATGATGGATGTATTCTGTTAGGGATCGCTCTGGATCCTGAGCTGTTCCACTGGAATGTACCGAGGCCAGCGTGGAGCCGGAGTGCGACCTGAAGGGGTAAGAAAACTCACTGAAGAAGGGATGCAACTAAACTCTCAATGTATCACTCTAAATAAGTCTGCTGAAATGTAAACAAACCTCATGTGCAACCTGAAAGATGACTTGCTGGGTGGAACAAGAGATGACACAGTGCCTTTCTGGGCACCTTTGTCTCTGTTTTGTGTCGAGTCAGAGTATGATCTAGGCTGCTGCTGCCTTAAAACTTCAGCTTTAAATCCTGCTAAAGACATGGCAATAAAAATATTGACTCCTTCATACACAGTCAAATGATTTATAAAAGTCATAAACAGAACTGACCTGGAACATGTCCATTAGCATTCCCAGATAAAGGAAATCTTCTAATTGCTTTCTGCCATTTCCTGGTCAGGAACCTCATTCTAAAAAAACCAAAAAGTTTGTTTGATTTATACAAAGTCAAGGTTGCAAGCATTTGTGTTCTAATTCGTGCCCTACCTTGACACTGCAATGACCACTCGAACAATGGCCCTGAATCGCCCGAGGGGTTTGCGCTGAGCTGTGAGAGGGGTTGAGGGTCTTGCTCCCATGCGAGCAATGAGACACAGAGTAGCCTGTTCACAATCCTGAAATCCTCCCAGCAGCAGCAGCAGGTAACGCTTCTGGTACACCAGAGCTTTCCTGAAGCTCTCGGCACGCAGGTAGCGCTCGTAGTACCGCTGCAGCTGCAACAAGAAACAGAAGCTGTAAGTTTAGTACTCTTACACTCACATACATTTAAAGACATTCACCATACACTATAACTGAACAACGTTTGTCATTTTGCATGTGTGTGTTTCCTTGCTGACCCTGCTGCTGGAATCATTCATGGGTCTGTTTTCTGTTTCCGCGGCGACCTTGGCGAGTTCGTTCTCTGTGCGCCGCAGCTGTTTCTCCAGACAGGTGAGCCTGTTTTTGTAGGTGCTCCTCTCCTGACTCAACGACGTCACATGCTCTGTCAGCTCAGAGTTCTTCTTCAGTAACATCTCCAACATGTTGGATGGTGATGTGGACTACGATGAGAACAAATGTTAGATTCATCTTCATTTTTTACCACAGTCATCCTAAATTTATTTTATCCCAAAAGCAGCTGGACACCTGCTGCTGCTGTGAGATGCTCGTCAGACCCCAGTCAGTCTGGGGGTTGTTGTGTTCAGGCTGCGCTGCCGAAGCTTTACGTTGTGGCCCTGAGGTCCACCCCGACAGCCTCTGCGCAGCCATCTCCTTCTCCTCTCGTTCCAGCTCTGTAAGAGTGCGCTGCAGCTCCTTCATGCGCTGCTGGTCCTGCCGCCTCAGTGACTCCAACTCCAACTTAGGATGGAAAAAGTTTTTAAAAAGCATTACATTAGTAAAAGTAGTGCATCCAGAAAGGAGCTGCTCTGATGAGAACTTACAAGCTTGTTCTTGGTGCTTTCCTGTCGCGCCTCTCTCTCCATCTGCTCTTGCCTTCCTTTCCTCCTTTCCCTCTCCATCTGCTCCTCCTGCTCCCGCTCCTTCTCCTTCAAAATCCGGAGTCTCTCCTTCAGTTCTGCCAGTTCCACTCCTTGACATTTGGATCGTTCTCGCTCCCCCTCTAAAGCGCAGCTGATCTCCCGTTTTTGCTCCTTCAAAGTCTCCAGTGCAACTCTTTGCCTGGTGGTAACCTCCTTCTCCTTCTGCAGCTGCTCCCGCCTCGTTTTATCCTCCTCTTCCCATTTCCTTCTGCTCTGCAGCAGCTCAGCCCTCAGTCTATCTATCACAGCTGCCAGCTCCTCCTCTTGCCTTCGCTCCTTCTCCAGCTGGGAGTGCAAGTCTGAGATGAACTTCCTGTCTCTAGCTGCATCGGCCTCGTGCCTCTGGCTGAGCTCGTCTACCTGTCTGGACCAACGGTCTCGCTCCTCTTCAAGTGTCTTGTGAGAATCTGCGAGCTTGGAGTGGAGCTCAGCCAGGCGAGATTGTGCTTCACGAAGGAGGGACTCAACTCGAGATGTTTCTTGCAAGCTGAGGTCCTGTTGATAAGCAAAACGCTGGCGGTCATCTTCTATCAACTTCTGAGTGTCTTGTGAGCGCTTCTCCAACAGCGAGCTGCGTGACTGTTCAATCTGAAGCTCTTGTCTCAGATTGCTACAGGCTACCATCTCCTGCTCCAGTTGACTCTTTAAAGTCATTACCTCACACCTGAGCTTCTCAGAGGACACGTGACTTGCCTAGAAATAAAAAAAAAAAGAGTAATTTTTCAGAGAAGGAATGCTTTTAAGATGATTTGTATGCATGGAAACACTGGCCATGTTCCAAAACTGGAAATAATGTTCCTGTATATCAACAACAATCAGGAAGTGTTTAAAGCACTCGATGCATCATTTTACCGCTCGTCTTTCCTCTTCCTCTCTCTCTTTACGGACAATCAGAGCTCTCTCTTGCTTCAGATCTTGTTGAAGCTCCTCAAACCTCGTCTGTTCCCTCCTCAAAGCTTCCTCACACTCCTCCACAGTCAGCCTGAATAAATAAATCATTTTTTTTTCCACTTTTAAACATTGGAGAACAAAAAGGTTGTTAAAGTAAAATGCCATCTAAAGGAGCTGCACCAATAGTTCAATTAAGCACAAATCACACAATAGATGGTTTCATTTTTACTCTAATATCACAGCATGATTTGATCATCTCTAATAGTCAAATACTGTTTTTACACACAGATGCATCGCTGAGATCAAATCAAATTTTATGGATTACTGAAAGTGAACTTAGTGAAGATTACAAACAGGTCCTGAACACACTTTTCTTCAAAATGTCCACTTGCATTTATAAAGAAAAAACATCTTTATTGATAAGTTAATCTGAAACAAAACTTGGTGAAACTCAAGTTTTTTCAACTTTATTGCTTCAAAACAAAAAAAAAGATGGAATAAAAATATGCACTTAAAGTAGAGCTGTCATACAAATTTGGACCGGGCCATGCTAATGTGCTGGATGGGTGGGCCAGGTCGGGCTTTTGATTGCGTCAGCGGATCATATGCGATCAAATTATATGGCAACATGGCTTGCCATATATTCACCAGCTGCATGCGGCCATGTACTGCAAGCTGACCGGCCTTGAAAGAGGTAAAATAAAGTTCAGTAAAGATTCAGAGGTGGGACTATGCTGCCAGGCAGTGATCCATCGCCCAAATAGACGCTCATTCAGCCGCTGGACTCAGCGGACGCGTGCGGCCCATGAACCAAACAGGTGAGATCCCAAAGCAGACATGTCAGAGCAGGGTCCGTGTCTGAATAATGCAGAATGCAGGCAGAAGCAGGGTTTAAATGCTCTTTGACAGCCATGAAAGGACAAACACACACTCAGCTCCGACCTTCTGCCCCTTTTATTCAGCTGCTCGCAGTAAAGTTAGTTTTATGTTGGACATTCGAGCTCCGTGGCTTCAGCAGTGTGTTCCTCTCGTTCGTCCAATGGAGGCAGTCTGACTTTGATCAGCCACGCTCGAACGAGAGGAACAAACCGCTGAAGCCACGGAGCTCGAATGTCCAACATAAAACTAACTTAACGTGGTCCGCGCTTATGCCGATTGTTAATATACTATAAGCAGTCAAAGCTTAAATAAAAATGTTGGGGGGGGGGGGGTGTCGGACCTGTAATTACTGTTAAATCATCGGGTCGGGTTCAGAAATGATGGGTACGGGCTGGATCTGATTTTTTGAATGCAACTCTAATATAAAGCAATGTATGTTCAGTATGATAGTTAATGAAAATGATGAGTGCTGTTATTAAAGGAAACTATACCTGAGTGAGAGAGTTTTGTTCTTTTGCTCTTGCAGAGCATTGTGGGCACATTTCAGCTGCTTCTGGCTCTCCTCCAGCTCTGCCCTCAGCTGCGATTCAGCCTGTCCACCAGTCTGAAGTTGACTTTGGTTCCAGTTATCATCAACGTTATCAGTCTTTGACAGAAATAACATCATTAGCACTGATTCAGTAGAACTTTAAACACAACTTCAGCTTTTCACGATAACCGTCTTTTACCACCCAACATCCAGACGAAACGATGGAAACTCACTTGTCTCTGTGCCATCCGACAAAGCAGCTCTCTGAGAGCGATCACGGTCTCCTGCAGAGCTCTCTTCTCCTGCTGCCACGTCATGGGAGGGTCAGACGGTGGTGCGTCTCCTCTGTGGCCCATCGGAGCAGAGCTACCGTCAGAGTGATACTGCAGCCGACTCTGGGGGAAACCTTTCAGCTCAGAAATATGAGGATGGGCTGAAGGAGCAGCTTGGCGCTGGCTCAGAGTGAGAATTCTGCAGCTTTCTTGATACACTTTTTTCAACAGACCCTGCAGAAAGAAGGAAGAGCTAAGCACCTCAGGCTTATTGTCATTTTGTCTACCATTAATGAGTGAAAACACTAACCTGGAGTTCAGGTGACAACAAGTCATCACTGTAGCTCATACTTCCTGCAGCACTGTCCGTGTTGACTGTAGGATTCATTCCTCTGCAGCGAAGGTACTCAATAAACTGAGCATCCAGTCGTTCAGTCTGTTCGAGCTCTGCTCTTAGTCGGGCACCCAGTTCAGAGCTCACATCTGAACGACAACAGAACAGAAAGTCTGTGGATATTCCAGGATACAGTAAAACTCAGGAGCCAAACTGTTACAATAGGTGGCACAAACACTGCAGTTTATATGAAGCCGACATCGTCTTTCTTGTCTCGTACATAAAATCTGAATTTCTGCTTCTAAAAACACAAACTAACTCGGTCCTGTTGGACTCTGAAGAAAGTGCATGAAGATTAAACAGCCAACAAAACACTTTGTTGTAAACAACTCCAGCTGGATGACCTGGACAACGGTTCATTCAAGAGCCTTGCAGCTGCCAGGCGGCAGATACTCACTGCTGCCGTAACCATCACTGGTGTTCCACTCCTGTGCTGACAGAGACGAGGTGGAGCCAAGCGGAGATGACGGTGCCGTTAGGTCAAATTCTTCCAGCTCGTGCACCTAAGAACGACATAAATGTGAATACCTAAAACAACAAAAGAAGAAGCTTCACAGAAGTTCAGAAATCTACAAATCTACTGCATACTTTATCAGCCTCTGCTGAATTGAGTACAGAGAAGTTGTCCGATCCCGACAAAGATCCTGGAGAATGGCTGGTCTGTGAGCTGGGGTCTGGAGTGATGGTCCTCAAGTGTGGAGGCTCCATAACAACATTGGGAGAAGGTTTAACCTGCGGAGGTTCGAGGCCCGTGCTGTTCATGCTGCTGAGCTCGAACAGACGAGAGTCGAGGGCAGACGTCTGGAAGCGTTGTCGGATTCTGTCCTCAGAGCATTCGAGTCGTCTCAAGACCTCGGGAGAACTCAGAGGGGCTTCGTCACGAGAGACTGCCAGACCCTCCTGAAAGCCCCTGTGAGGAGCATCTGATGGGGACATGACAAGTTTTAGTTTCTCATTTAAACCAAATAAAATTACTGTATTTTCCGCCATACACGTCGCACCGCCCTATAAATCACATCAGTCCAAATATGTCCAATAAAGTGGAAAAATCCATAAATAAGTCGCTTCACCGTATAAGTTGCATCTATTATGCATCGCTGACAACCCGGAAATGAGGGCCGGTGTTGTGCCAAAAATCAATTGGCTGCCAAATGGCGGCCGCGGGAGTGTGCACAGGAGGACTTTAACAAGAATTTAACAAGATTAACACTTAATTATTTGTTTGCTCTAAATTATAGTAAAGGTGTGTCTCAGTTGAACTTTAACTTAATAAATGCACTTCATTGGTCAAATCAGCTGCATGTCGCCGGGGCGGTGAAATGAAGCTGCTTTGACGGTTGCTCCAGGCGAGCTGGACGAAGGTGGCAGACTATGGCAAGCCGATTGAGTCATTAATAGCCACTTTTAACTATTACATGATACAACGGCATGCCATATCACTCAAGTGCCATCTAGCGTCTGAAAATGGTAGTGTTCAATATTTTCAGTCAGAATGAATGAAAATGGTTGTATCTCGGCCAAAAACTGGTTTATAAATATGGGGAAAAAAAAAGATAAATACGTCGCAGGGCATGCAAATTATGCAAAAAACTGCGACTTATAGACCGAAAAATACAGTAAATAGTCTTCAGTGTTAAAGTATTAAAAAAAAAAAACAGTTTAAATATTCTTATACTTTTAAGTATTTCTCTGTATATGGACCAAAATGTAAATACGTTTAATATACATTTATAGAATCAGGCTCACCCTTCTGTGTGTAGTTCTGGTGGTGAGGAAGAGTGTCCTGTTGATGGCGCTGCTGACACAGTCCCTGTTCTTTTGTCTCATAAGTCAGTTCCTCTTGAAGCTGTTGGAGTTCCACCTTCAGCTGCTTGTTTTCAGTTTCCAGGTCAACAAGAGCTCGTTCTTTGGTCTGAAAGACAAAAAAAACAGACATTAAGATTCATCTGTGGAGTTGAAACTTGTCGTGTACAGATTACAGCTCTTATATTCTCACCTGTCCTTCCTGATGAAACCTATCAGCCCGCTCTGTACTGGTACTCAGCCTTTGTTTCACTGCAGTCAGCTCCGTCCTTAGCGTCTCATTTTCAGCCTTTAGCTCAGCACATTCAGCTTCCTTTAGTCTCAAGGCAGCATCTGCTTTAGCCAGAGTCACATCAGCATGGGTCTGAAAAAGTAATGCGTTACTGTTATGGACCCACATCTCTTTAACACAAGCAGACAACTGCAGGAAAATACCTCGCAGGAGTTTATGTCAGACTATAAAACATGCAGCGTTTTCAGTAAAAACAAATAAAGCCTATAGGAATTATTACACATTGTGTATTATTTACCAAAACGACTACATCTGTCAAAAGCAGTAATGCACTTTTTCCAAACAAACCTTGGCACGATTCTGAAACGCTACAATCCGACCCATTAAATGCCGTTCTTTAAAAAGATCACAGCAGCTTCTTACCACATCCTGTCACGGCAGAAAGCTAAAGAAAAAATAAAATGCAACAAAGTTTTGAGCTAACAAACATTTTCGTTTAGCTTCCTCTTTTTCATGTCACTTCCTTTGTGCAAGTTTGTTTCTGCCGTCTCTGCGTTGTAACAGTGGCGCCCCCTAATCATAACCAGATGTGGTCTTGCCTGCAGCCTCCAGCACAGAAAAGCAGTAAGACATAGCAAACTTGGATCCAAGGATTACTGAAGCAGGTTTATAAAGTTATCTGGGTAAAAAAAAAAAAAAAATATAATATATATATATATATATATATATA